AAGAATATATTAATGTTAGGTCACCTCCAGGCAGGAGAATGGATTGGCTGTGGAAAGGGGTGGAAGAACAATGAGGTACAATGGGCCGAGGTAGCACCCTGCCTATTTAGTCATTCTGCTAAACTCAGCTTATGATTAAACTGGGATGTCAAAATTTATAAGGGAACCAAAAAAATCTCAGTATGTGGACATGTACACTGGGGCTGATTTAGGCTTACCTTCATAATTTATCCTACAGTTACCTACTTGTTAGTAGGAAAAAAAAAAAAAAGCCAGATTCTTAGGAGACTCGTCTTCTTGGCTCCCCTATTACAGTCTACGCCACTGTCTTTATAATGACGAAGTCAGGGACTCCTATGTTTCAAACGGGACAACACAAGTAAAGCATTCAGAGTACTGCCCAGTACATAGCAAACACTCAACAAGGTACTTAAAACTGCAGATGCAGGGATGAGATGAGAGGACAGAGAACACACTTAAAACCTATGCCCCGAGAATGGCAATACTTTGAGGTACTACAAAAGCAAGGCTGCACCTTTCTAGAGGGGTATGCAACAGTAAATACATCTAGCAGTTACTCTGGGAATTTAGTCTCCTACATAACCTAAGGATCTACACTAACATGCAATTTCGATAATGTTCAACAAAACACTGTTTACGCTAGTGAGAAATTAGAAACTCCCTAAAACTATACAATGAGGGTCTACTTGAGTAAACTATGGAATATTATATAGTAATTAAAAATAAGATTGTAAAAATATATTTATTGTAGAAATATGTTTAAGGTACATCCAATTAAAATAAAAAGTATAAAATATTAAATATAGTGTGATTCATTTTGGTAAAAAAAAAGATATATAAAAACAAAAATGTGCAATATACACCAAAATATTAACATTCATTTATTCTGGGGAGTAGGATAATGGAGGAGTCTGCGGGTGGCACAAACGGTTAAGCACTCAACTACGACCTGAAAGGTTGGCAGTTTGAATGCAGTCAGAGGTGCCTTGGAAGAATGGCCTGAAAGGTCTGCTTCTGAAAGGCCAAGCCTTGAAAACTTTACGGAGTGCAGTTCTACTCTGCAGCACATGGGCTCATCACGAGTCAGAATAGACTGGACAGCAACTGGTTTGGTTTATTGGTTTTAGGATAATGACAGATTTTTCTCTGTTTTGTTAATCTGGTTTTTAAAAATTAAAAAAAATATATTTCTACTGAATTAATGCTGCATTGGAAGTTAATACACTCATCCACTCTAGATAGTTTAAGCCCTTAGTATATAAACTCATAGCTTAAGTACTCTTAATCAGGAACCTCTGAATCAATGTAGTATTCAAATTTCACATACGATTATAAAATTTGAAATGCTGTGGGGCCATAACCCAATCAGATATAGCATACCAAAGTTATGGAATGAACCAATGAATAAATGAACTATAGGAATTCAAACAGCCATTATCGACTCTCAGAGATGTTTATACAAATTTTTTGAAAGAAAAATACAGACAGCAAATGGCTGTATTTTCACAGAAATAATTATTATAACTAATTATCAATATTATTACTAGCACAACATGTTCTAAAAGTTGATTATTTGGTGAAATCTATGAGTCTTCAAATGATTCAAATAATAGTTATGAACATTTAAAATTATAGAAAGTTGCATAAAAGAGAACAGCCAATTCAAGTTTGTTATTTTTGACATAAGAAATGGTCTACAGAGGTTAGAAGACTTGCCTAGGGTCACTTAACTAGTTAGCTAGCTGCTGTTGTTGTGTGCTGTCAAGTTGATTCTGACTCATAGCGACCCTATATAACAGAGCAGAACTGCCCACAGGGTTTCCTAGGCTGTAATCTTTACAGGAGCAGATCGCCAGGTTTTTTCTCCTGTAGTTAGCTAGCAGTAGACACATAATCAAATTCACATATGCTATTTCTTGGTTCTGTGTACTTTCTGCTATACCATCCAGCAATGGAGGAGCATGTGCAATAAAAAGGGGCATCCCAGGAAAGCATTCAACATATTGTCACACCTGTGCCTTTGTTGCTCAGAGGCAGTTTTTAAAAACAGCATTTTCACAATTGCATTTCTATAAAACCAATTTGTGTTACATGGCTTATATCCTAAACTCTAAAGTAATTTCAAAGAATACATTCTAAGAGACATAGTCACTCAATGTAATGTAAAATGTTTTAGAAGTACTTAACTATCTCTCCAGTGAGAAGAACTTAACAGTGAAAAAGATAACCCACATCAAAGACAAGTGACATTACTTCAGATCTTGTTTCATTTTGAGAGGTAGGTAGTGCAGGGCCAGCTTCAAGGGCTTGCAATCTGTGCAGTCATACAGTCCCACACTTAGAAGGTCCCCGCGCTTAGATAATGCTCTGTTGTTGCCATCTTTTCATTCTGCACTGGGCTCCATAAATTATGTGGCTGATCTAAGGGAGTGATTTGGATAGTGCTAACCTTTAATAATAAACACCCAACGCGAAATTCTACTTAACACGCCATGTTAACGTCTTGCTTTTTGGAAGGACTAACCGGTTTCTAGTTACATCCTTACTCAACCATTTAACAGTGTTCTCTTGGTTATTAGTCAAATCACAGAGAAAACGTGTAGTTCATTCAAATAAGAAAATACCTCAAAGTCATCTGGCTTTAGTACTTGTGGCTTGCCTATTAGAAGTTTCTGCCTTCCAATTATGGTCTCCTCAAAATTAATTTCTGGGCCAAAATCAGAGGATTAAGGCAGAAGAACACCAAAATATAAACAAGGAAGCAGGAAAAATGACTCAAAAATGCAAAGTGGATAATCCATAACTTAATTAATCTTGTTTATTTACGAGCCTGACAACTCCTGAATAGTTTATCTTCAGCCCACCCAGTATCTCCCCTAAACTCCAGACGCATCTATTCAACTGCCTACTTAACATCTTTGTTTGGATGTCTCATTTCTTCCCACAAACTCACCTCTGTTAAGGGCAGATTGGTCTACCCAGTTGCTCAAGCCAAAAACCTTGATGTCATCTTTTGACTCTGCTTTGACCTCATCTCCTTCTTCTTACCCTCTTACTCACTCTCCTCCAGCTTACTTGCTATTCCCTGAATAATCTAGGCATACATCCATCTCAGGGCCTTTGCACTTGCCAGTCCTTCTGCCAGAATGCACTTTCTCCCATACATTTGCATGGCTCACTCTTCTATCTCCTTCTAGTCCTTGCTCAAATGTCACCTTTTCATTGGTGCAGCATCACCACTCTCTGCACCCTCTATGCCCTTCTCTGCTGCTTTATTTTTCTCTATAGCAGTTAACATTTCCACATAAACTATATAAATTACTAGGTGTTTGTTTCCTCCCACTGGAATGTAAGCTCCACGAGACTAGAGATTTGTCTGTTTTGTTCATTGCTGGATACCTAATACCAATGATGGCACATAAAAGGTACTCAAATATTTGCTAAATGAATGAAATGTATGAAGATCAACAACTGTTTTAATTTTTATCCATTCCTACTTTTCCACAGGATTTTGACTAAGGAATTTCTTTAGCATTTGTTAACTCTTAAGTAGTACCATTGATTCCATATAGTAAATCCTACTGATTTTTAATTCAAACTATTCCAAAGGCTAACTGGAATTGTGTTCTATTTTTATACGCAAAAGATACAGGTATACAAACTGACGTCAGACATTTTATTAAATACACAGAAACACAATTTCCAGGATATATCATGGAGTCAATACGGATTCCACCTACTTCTAAGCTCTGGATCCAATTTGTACAAGTAATCAATATTTGCATGGAGAATCATAAAGCATTGTAATATGCTTCAACTCAATAGAAAAAATAAATTGTAATCAATATAATTTTAATGGCAAATACATTTTATTAAACTGTAATACAATTAGTGGCCTATGTAGTATGTATATGATGCTCCTTAGTAACCACAGTCAATTAACTAAAATAACCAATGCACTGAGATGGCAATTTATTACATTGGTCTTATTAAAGCATTTGGCATAGGGACTGTATCTGTTTGGTGAATGGAGTTGGACTTAAAAATTAAACACAAAAAGGCTTTATAAAATCATCTTGCTAAATAATGAAAGCTTTATATTCCTAAACTCCAGTTACTCTTCTTTACATTTAACAAACAAAAAGATTTCATTTAAATACTCTTCCCAAAATTGTGCATCTCACCCTCTCTTACATTTGCTTGCATATCACTAGCTGTTTCTGGTACTCAGGATTCTCCCCATTGCATAAAAGAGAGATCTTAAACAAATAATCATTCATGGTTATCAAAAGACTACACTCTTATATATAAACTATAAAGCAAAATAAGTGACACTTCATAGCACTCTTCAATTTAGGTTTTAGTCCTTTTACTAACAGAAAAACTTCTCTCAACCATGAGCAGGGAAGACTCTCTCCCATTTCTCCTCCATGAGATTGCTTAAAACAGTTTCCAACAACATAGAAACTAAGGGTGTGAGGAAACAGTCATGATCACATACTGCTGGTAAGAGTATAAAATGGCACAACCCCTATAAAAGACAATATGTGGTAAAATTACAACACACAGAATCTTTGAAATCCACTTCTTATAAAATGTCCCTATGTACAAGGTATTTGTTGCAGCACTGTTTTGTAATAGCATAAGACTGGAAACAAACTAAATGTCCAACAACAGAGGACTGGTTAAAGAAATTATCATACATCTATACAGTAGAATACTATGCAGCTGCTTAAAAAAAAATGAGGGAGCTGCTTATGTACTGACATAGAACAGCCTTCAAGATATGTTAAGTGAAAAATGCAAGGTGCAGAACAGTATGTACGGTATGCTACCATTTGTTTAAAAAAAAAGAAAAGGAAAAAATACATAGGTTTGCTTATGTATGCATAGACTGCCTCTGGAAGGATACACAGTGAAGCACATCTTTTGAGGGCATATAAGACTACATATTAGAGAATATTTATTCTGGTTCTTACCTTACAGCAGTGTGAGAAGATCTGACAGATGTACTCCTGTGTGTAGCGAGACCTGCTAAGCAGCACCATGAGGTGTGGTATCACTGTGGCATCCTGGAGTAGAAGGGAAGGAGAGCACATCAACAGGAACTTAGGTACCATGAGTACACTTGACAAAATATTTCCATGAGCAGGTACATAGTCAAGCCTCTCATCTTAACAGTAAATCAAGTCTCTTTAAAGAATATAGCAAAATAAAAGTAACATGGCCATCAAAACTGTCTAAGCATAGGGCATCCATGACAACTTCCACATCTTATAAAATGTCCCTATGCACAAAGTATTTGTTGCAGCACTGTTTTGTAACAGTGAGGAAATTACCACTTCCTCTCCCATAAACAGCCTATATTCCAACAATAAAACAAAATAATTTCAATATGACTCTTTACAGAAATCTATTTCAAAACTGAAATATCAGGTAACTAATAAAATATACAACAATTAATGGCTTAAGGAAGGAATTATTGTATAAAAACAAACCTTGACAATTTGGACTCTGAGATGTTACAGTAAGTATCACTAACCATGACCGTAGTTAGCTATTTTCAATCTGCACAAGATGGTTTATATGATTAGCATCTTCTCACTTAGAGCCCACATGTGACAAGAGACAAGAGTCAACCCATCCTGCTGCACGGCTCTGCAGTAATTTTTTTATTTAGAAAGCAAAAGGAATTGAACCACAGATGGGAAAGGAAACTTAGCTCAAGCATCCTGGTTAATTTAACCAGGCTTTCACAAGTCCTACAGCTGTTTCTGAAGTATGAATGTACATACAAATTCCCAGGGGATCTTCTGAATGTACAGATTCTGATTTAGTAGGTCTGGGGTAAGACCCAAGATTCTGCATGCTAATGAGCTTCCAAATGAGGCTGATGCTGCTGGTCCACAGATAGCACTTTGAGAAATCTCACAAAAGACAACAGGGCAACAAGGAAAGAAACTCACAGGAACATCACTGTTGGAATGAAAAAGATTTGAGGTTTTGTTTAGAAAGAAAAGAATGCCTGGGATATATAAAAGCTAAGTAGGAAAATGAGAAGGATGTCAATTCCCTACCAGTAGAATCTCTTCCCTTGTTTGTTTGTATAACCCTCTGTGTTGTCACAAGCAGTTTAAATACAAAATGAAAAACTTAAAAACCTCAAAGAAAGTCAGGTACTTATTTCATAAGAAGAGCGGATAATATGAGACTGAGGGGAGGGGAAACAATGGTTTCACTGGCAGAAGACAGGGAAGCAGGTAACAGCTAAGACAGAAAAAACAAATCAGGGGGTAAATAAGAAAACTTCTATGAGGCTCTGAAAGCTACTTCCACCTCCTTCCTTTCCTCCTTTGCTCTTACATTCATTCTTTTTCCTTGGTTACAACAGTCACCATCCCATTTCTTCACACCTGCTCCCTTTCTGCCAATTGTGCTGGGCACCTGCAGTTTATAGTTGATTAAACAGGCAAAGAGTTAAACATAATTTGCCCAAAGTCACCCATCTGGTAAATGGAATTTCAAATTAGAAGTCTGCCATTCTGACTAGACTGCCCTGGCTCTAGTGCCTGAGTTAATAGAACAGTGGCCTCTACACAATCCCACTCACAGAGGTCAGTTAATTACACTGAAATACTGCTGTCATTTGTCTTATCATCCAACACCTTTCATAGATTCTCTACTTTCTGTGGTATAAAATCTCTGAGGCACAAAATCATCATGATGTTTCATAATTTAGACACTCTCCACTGTGAAATTCATTTAACCTCCCTGAGTCTTAATTTTTTTCATGTATTAAAAAAGTTAAGTTGCACTAGACCAGAATTTTCCAAATTATGCATCGTGACCAATTAGTAGGTAATGAAATTAGTTGTGAGAGTGAAGAGGAAGGAGTTAAACTGGCTGGCCAGGATCAATTTCTCCCACTATCGCTGGATAGGACTGAGGATGGGGGAGAAGCTTCTAAGGTAAAGAAAAGAAGACAGGTAATTTCGTTTAATCTCTTTCTGAATATGACAAGACCTTAGAGAAAATACACTGATGATATTTATTACAAGGACAGTTCTTCTCTATGGAATGCTTTGACAGGATGTCCCGGGCTCAGGACTGCTTACAGTAGGTCAGTGATTCTCTGAACCAGCAGCATCTGAGTCACCCAAAAAAACTTCTTAAAAGTGCAAATTCTTGGGTCTTATCTTGACTCCCTGGATCAGAAACTCTGGAGGTGGGGTCCAGCAATCTGTGTTTTATCAAGCCCCCTCAGGTAATTCTGGGGCAAGCTCAAGTTTGAGAACCACTGTAGTAATCTATGGATTTATGAGGCATGCCTCTTTGAAGAATGTCATTTAAACTATATAAATCTCCGAGGTATTAAAATCAAGATGTTTCATAATTTAGATATTCCCAGCTGTGTGAGGCTACCCACAAGCCACACTTACAGATCTTATGTGTCATTCTGAGCCAGAGGAGCATGTGTCTGAGATGGAAGGAAGGACTAGGGAGCCATTGGAAATGTCCCCTCTCCCCACTTGCTTTGCCTCTGTCTCTTGATTGCTTATATTCTTGAAATATTAGTAAAGCTTGATTCTGGATAAGATTCATGTGTGTCTGATTTGACGCTCTGATCCTTTGTGTTAGCTCAGAGAATCACAACCAGCATTTTTTAAAAAAATGAAAAAAGAATATAATAGAAACCAGAGTGCATTACATTGAAGGAATTGTTTTGTGAAACTTCTGTTTCAGGATTCATACACAAACACATAAATTTACATGTGTATATAGTCTAGCAATGTAAAATGTATTTCTTACTGTGAGCTATGGATAAAAGTGTTCACAAAACATCGGCCTGGATAATTTTCATTAAGAAAGTTCCATGTAATCATTACAACCATTTGGGAAAATGGTATGGCACTTCCTCAAAAAACTAGAAATAGAAATACCTTATGATCCAGCAATCCCATTTCTAGGTATATACTCTAGAGGTCTAATAAAAGAGACCTGGACAGACATATGCACAACTATGTTCACTGCAGCATTATTCACGATAGCAAAAAAATAGCAACAGCCTAAGCGTCCTTCAATGGACGAACGGATAAGCAAAATACGGTACATATACACAATGGAATACTACACAACCATAAAGAACAAGGACAAGTCCACAAAACATACTATAACATGGATGGATCTAGAGGACATAATGCTGTGTGAATAAGTCAATCACACAAGGACAAATGCTTTACGATCCCACTTTTATAAGAAGACAAGAACAGATATATACCCAGAGATCAATGTTCATTGATGGTTACCAGGAGTGGGTGGGGGAAAGTAGCACCAAATGTGGGTGTAACAGGCGCAGCTTGACCAAAGTAAACAATGCCACAAAAAAAAAAAAGTCCCACATAGTCAAGAGATAAAAGGACCTCCTCGCAATCCTTGAGGCTTTTGAAAACCACTGAATGACTCTGAAGATCTCCGGACTCTCTCAGACCTAAGCTCAGCCTGTTAAGTAAACCTCTTGCAAGCTGGTTCTAGTCCACCTCTCCAGTGGAAAATACTGAGGACCTTCCCCCATTAGATTAAGTATTTGACCCATCATCCTGCATATTCTCTCTCATACAGATCCTTCCTAGAATGGCCTCTTTCATCTCCACTTCACTAAATCTTATCCATTATTCAAGACCCAGGTCAAATTCTAGCTTCTCTATAAAGTCTATTATGCTGGACTTTAACCTAAAGTAAGCTGAACTCCCCATTGCTCACTTAGCATTAAACATACTGCCTCAATTTGTACACATAAAGAGATAAAAATGGGACTTTTTTTTTAACAGCTTATAAATTCCTCGAAGTCTTTTACTTCCTTACATGGCCTACCACATTTCATATTTGCAAATAAGCAAGAACTTAAATACTTCTTGAGACCTTTCTATAACATAACAGTTATGTTGAGTTCTGAGATGCAAGTAAATTAGGGTTTGATGTTAGTGAAATGTAACTGATGACTCAAAAACATCTAAAGCTCACCGTGTACAGTAGCTCCTCAGGAGTGACAGGACTGGTGAAGACGGTGCGTAAGCATCGGAGGCAAGCTTCAATGAACTTCAGGTCTGGGGACAGTAGTCCTATTAATAGAAACCAGATTTGGGACTCATCCTTTCAACTAGTATTTAAAATACTGCAAACTGACTCTAATCTTCACTTGTGCAAAAATGGGTTCCTTACATACCTTGCAGTAAGGAAGGGATAATATGACAGTCTAGTAGAGACTTAACATTGTTTTCAGTACCCATAGCAAGACTTCCCAATACCACTGCACATTCAGCTTTCAGCTCTGTGCTTGAGGCTTCTTGCTGAAGCAAGTACAACAACCTAAAAAGAAGGAATTTGATAAACAGAACAGACTAAAAAACTTAAACAAAAGTAAATTAGCTAAAAGTAACATGACAGAAAAAGGCAATCAATACATCCCACATACTACTCAAGATATGAGTGATTAAGCTTATGCGAATCCTTCTAGGAAATGGTCACTAGTTTGTATTAGCTGTTAATTCAATAAAGGAACATCTGAAAAAAATGTCTTTCACTTTGAACAAAAGAACTATCACATAATCTCAATTTAGCAAAGCTGTAAATCTGACAGTTATCCACAAGTGGTCTCTGTAGAAATAGCAGCACCACGGCCCATGTTATCTGCCATTTCCGAGTGGGTCCCTTCAGAATATGAAGACTCCCAACGCCAAGTACTGCTGGATCTTATATTCGGGAGGGGGCTGAGAAGAGGCCTGAACAGTCGAGAGAAGCTGAGAGAGCTAACCTGCCCTAAAGGGATGTGCTCTTCACTTCAGGGGAGCCTTCCAGACTTTGCCTACATGCTTCCTGATCCTGATCCTGAGTTGTAGCCTGTTGATTCTGATCCCAAGTTGTACCCTGTTGCTTCCTCAATAAACTATTTTACTGTAATTCTGGTCTGTGAGTTCTGTGTGGCCAGTGCAACAGATTAGCAAACCCAGAAGAGAAGTAGAGAGTGCCGTGGGGAGGACAGCTGATGCCAGGATTGGTAAAAAGGTTGGAAAGTGGAGGTGTGTCTAGAAATGGATTCTGAAGGTCCAGAGCAGTAGCACAGAGATCAGAGAGGTCTAGCCTAGAGGGATTATTCAGAGCCTTGTGCAGCTCCTTGAGAGAGGGAAACTTTTCTCTTTCCACAATTCTCCCATTTGGAGAATGAGGAGACCCTCCCATTTCCACTCCAGCCCAGCTTGACAAACAACTACTCCCCAAACCCTAACCCTTCACCACTTACGACCATCTCCCTTATGTTCTAAGGTAGAACCCTGAGGCTCCCCCTAAAGCACTATTTATATATATTAAACACTAATCCCCTAAGAAAGGCTGCTAAGACCTTTATGGTTACTAAAGTACATAGTGGAAACCCTGGTGGTGTAGTGGTTAAGAGCTATGGCTGCTAACCAAAAGGTGAGCAGTTCAATCAAACCCACAAAGTGCTCCTTGGAAACCCTATGGGGCAGTTCTTCTCTGTCCTATAGGGTCGCTATGAGTCAGAATAGACTCGGTGGCAACGGGTTTGGTTTTTGGTTTAAAGTATATAGTATTTGTGGTCAGTGATGTTAAAAACATTAAAACCATTAATCCTGTATCAAAAGATAGAAAGTAAGGGAAATAGACAAGAGAAAAAAACCAAAATATTAAAAAATTCTGAGTAAAAAACTTACAGCAATTGTATACAAAACTTAGTTCTGAGTAGCAAAGGCAAACAGAAAATTACCTAATCAGCACTGCCTGCCAAAAGAAAGCTTACTAGGTCATGAGAAGAAATAAAAAAATAAGCTTTATTATTTTTTTTATTTCAAAAAAGGACTTGAGGAATCCTAAGAAATCATTATTATCCTATCACACAAAAACTGCCAGGACTCTGAGAGAATGATGAAGAAAGTTTCAGTTGGTATACAGAGCTTATCTATCCAAAATAGTCTTTTAGTGCAAGGTCAACGATCTTCCTCAATTTCCAAGATATGAAGCATTCACTTCATATTCTATTCTCTCATACTTTAATACTTTTAAGAGCTACTTCGAATACTTCAAAGCATTAGTTTTAAAAAATAAAATCGACAAAACAGAAAAACTACGCGTCTTCTGATTGAGAGTAAAAACTCTGTATGAATGGCACAAAAGGGGGTGACAGCAAACATACCTTGGAACAGCTCCTAAAACAATGAGGTTGGCTTTCTGCTTGTTGTTTCCAATTACGGCATTTTTCATGTCTCTGAATTCAGGAGAATAGAAAAGGGTACAAAGTATGCTGAAATATTACAGAAAAATAAAAAACCAATTTCACTTTATCTTTAGTATGCAACATCCTGGGTTGGCAAGTACCAAAGCTAATGACAAAGTGAAAGCACTGGCTCTTTTTTACCTGGAGTCCTAGAGAAGGATAGGGACAGGTACGGAGTGACCGTGGGAATTGAACAACAGGGGAGTAGTACCGTGGGAAGGAGGTGGGAAACATCCTGAGTACAGGGAAAAGACTTCTAATACAAAGAAAACTGAGTTCTTTTTTTTTTTTTTTTAAAAAACAAAAACAAAAAACCACCAGTCCTTTCAATATAAAGGAATATAGGTCACTTGCTCACTCCCAGCTCTGGGAGTGGGGAGTATAAGCAACCAGCCCACAGAACATATTTGACCTTGTTTCAGGGACCACAGCTTTGCTCTCTTTTTTCTCTTTCTGACTTCTTCCGGACTATTTTTTATGATTCCATTTTATTGCCCTTATTGTCTTACTAGCTGTACGTCTTTGGGTTTTGTTTCATTACTTGTTTTTTAGTGGTTGCTTTAGAATTTCCCATGTGTATCTTTTCATTTATCCCAATTTTAAATTAATATTATTCCATTTCATGTGAATAGTATAAGAGCCTTGCAAGAGAATACTTCCATTTCCACATCCATTCTTTGTGTTCTTTGTGCTGCTGTTGCCATACATTTTATTTTTAAATGAGTTAGAAACAACATAATACACTGTTACTATTTTTCCTTAAGCAGCCAATTATCTTTGAAAGAGACTAAAAAATAAGAAAAATCTTTCATATTCATTACATATTCACCAATATCTTTTATTCTGGATACACACAGATTTTTACTTCATCAGGAGCAAAACCCTATTCCACAATAAGGGTACCTCTATCAGTAAGGTTCACAAAGGTATAGTTGGTCCCAAATGACATCTGGAGAAAAAAATAAATGGCTCAAAACAAACCCAGTACTACTAATAAAATGCCGTCTTAATATAGAACACTAGAACACTACATGGTTCTACACAGCAGCGGTTCTCAAAGGTGTGTGTGCGCAGGGGTCGGTGCGGGGTCATTATTGCTCCCTAAGGGCATTTCAGGAGTTTGTGAGAATGCTTAGAAATTCCTGGCTGTGGTTTTACAAATGGACAGAAAGCATTTTTTGCACAGTTTTAAAGAAAACTGGATTTTTCAGAATTGTAATCTGCCCTGTAAATTAAAGGTAGATTATACTTTTTATCAAAAGTAATTCATTTTAGAAAACTGTATCACCAACAAAGTGCACTCATGGTATCTGAGTTATCAATACCATATACTTGCATCAGTCCACACTTTCAACTCTTGCATTCATACTACTTTATGAAACTTTCTAGTGTAGTTTCATGCCCAAGCAATTACATATTGAAATATTATCAACTGCTTTCTTTTTTGGTTTAGCCTTTATATTGCAGGCAGGAAAGCAGCATATTATTTTTGGAATTATGTGCATTATCATGTGCATATGAATTTAATTTCAGGAGAGTACAAGCAGTGTTACAAAATATTTACAACAAGGGGAAGTTAGGTCTTGACAGCATTAAGACCACTGCTATATAGCTTCAAAGTTTTTAGTTCACCCATTCTTTCATATCCCAAAACAAGTTCCCTAAGATACTCACTGAGTATCTCCTTTGACTTTCCATCTTTCAGGTGGCAGAGCTCTATAACATATAGAAATTTTCTGCCCCTTGAAAGTTATAATCCTTAAAAAGGTCTATAGCTGGCAAAAGCAGTCTTGTAGAAAATAGGGAATTGGGAAAAAGTTATTTTAAAAAATCAACAAATGAGTGTTATAGTTAGCATATATTTCCAAAACCAACCAGATTCACTGACATTAAAAACTCTGGTAATAATTAAGCCTCTCTTCAATCACTTTCAATTATTGCAGAAAAAAAATTTTTTCCCCCACAAGTTTCTGAATAGCGTTTTCATAAGTCTTGAACCAAACACATTGCCTGTTTTTTTCTTCCATTATATCTCAGTGCCCAAGGGTAGGTCTTTTTTTCTGGTCCTGATCCCTCTTTCTAAACTACTCCTCAGATCCTTCATCTGCTTTACAGGGGTAAGTAGCAACATTCTTTTGTTTATGGAGACTAAACTGAATGAAGCTTACTGAGGTTTCTGGCAAGTTCTGACACATTTATAAAACTATGTGATACCAAAGTCTCGGTTGGTAAAGCACAGTGTTGATGAGAGATGGTTTGTGCACCGAGGCTCCTGCCTCCTAGGATACCAACTCAGTAGACAGCTGCTGAGAGTCTATTCTATGCCAAGTGCCATTCTGGGTGATCTATCTTGGAACTCTGAACCCTTACATCTCTCCAGATTTCTTCCCATTATTCCCAAAGTAAATAGAAATGAGGTGTATCTCCACATTACCTTCTGAGCCCATTCCAGACATCTGAAACCATGCCAAATTAAATGTTTTTAAGACAAAAAGAAACAAAAAACCCTCCAAAACCAATTTTCCAATTCTCCTAATAATTTACTTCCTTTTGGTTCAAGAATTAGGCTAGATCTGGGCCTTAACGAAGTAGCCAATAGCTACATAGTAAACGCTGATTAGAGAGAACACAATTAACAAAATGGACCAATGTCTAAAGAAAAAAATTCTTGTTATGGCTCTAATAAGTATATAACTAAAATATACCTATGCTAGAAAAAGATACTAACACCCAACAAATAAATTCTACTCAGATGTTATTATAAAGGGATGTTAACTGATCATTTCTATAAGATAATACCAAAAGAGATAATACTTATCACATATATTCATTTTTAGCAAATCTAGGCTAATTCCTGAACTAACGAATCAATTCCTGAGGCAGCAGGGACTCAACATCCAACCAGCTAAATGAAGCTTCTTTCAGTTCTGAGAGTACCTATTTTCTCTCTCTCATCTCTTTAATCCCTCCCTCATACTTTGCTCCGGCTAATTTTACTCATCCTTTAGGTCTGAACTTAGATACCAATGTCACTCCCTCTAGAAGTACTCTCTGACACTCCCAGGTCTGGGTTAGGCTTGCCTCCTAGGTATTCTCTACCACAGGACACTCATCACTTTGTTAGGATAGAAGTCCGTCTTCCCGTGAGAAGAAAACTCAGAGAAGTTACTATCACTGGATCATTAAAAGTAGTAGTTCTAGAAAACTTACCACTTGGAAATCCGTATTTTTGTAAAATGCAAACTCACAACTATCACCCAAGATGAGAGCAACAATAAAACTATGCAAGGTTTACATATTACCTTAAAGTTTACAAAGCATTTTAAATCTATTATTTAATTTCATCACAACCTTGAGTAATATCAACCCCATTTTACAGATGCAAATGCTATGATTCAGATTAGGAGCTTTTTTCACAGTCTCATATTAAATGATAGTCAGTCTCAACCCATGTCTTTTATACCAAGTGTTTTTTCCATTACTTCCAGCACAACAGGTCTTTACAACTAAATGATCAAAAAGACAAAAGAATTCAATAAATATTTCCTTTTTTTCCTCCTGTGTTTCAATTTTACATTTTTTTTGTAAACAATAAAGACTTTTCTAATTTTAATCAAAAAGATCATTTTCCCAATAGATCAAAGGAATGTAACCTCATGCCTACTGACTTTTAACGTTAGGAAAAAATGCCCTTACATGTACTACTGAAATTCAGCAATTAGTTTCTGAGCTCAGCAATACGCTAGGCTCTATGAAGGATACAAAAGCATCATTCAATGAGACAACTGATCTAAAGAGTTTACAATTTACTCGGGAAGACAAAAAAAAAAAAAAAAAAAACCTCAAACAATGTAAGACATTGATATACAGAGCTTACAGAGTTGAGAAAGGTAGATGTTAAATAAGTTTACTAGGTTTTGAGGCAGTGGCAGGAAATAAGATGAACCTTAGAAAATGGTCAGGATTTGGATAAGTGGATGGGAAGGACAAATAGAAAAACCATTCACAGAAGACCATATTAGGAATGAATATTGCTTGTTTCCGGGGCAGTAACAGGAGCCTGGATCAAAAAGAAGGTTCACTTTAGGGTAGCATGGAACATAAAATTAGAAAAGTGATAGGGAGAAAAGACAAACTGAAAGGTGATGGATTAAGAAGCAATCATGTTTTTGATCAGAGAAAAGACATGCAGGAAGCAGTGACTAAGGAAGATTAACTGAATGTGGAATGGACTGGAATGCAGGCACTATTAGAACAAGAGAGGCAACAAAGTAACTGATGCCCCTTCTTTGTGGTCCCAAGACCTTCTGTGCTTATCACCATCACAGCATTCTCTGAGCAAACTATAGTGGACTGTCTCTTTAGTTATCTGTCTCCTCCACGAGACTTTTGGATCCTTCAGAGTTCTATGTTATTCATCCTTATATACCCCTACACTAACACAATGCCCAGCATTTGTCAGGCACTCAATGACTGTTTGTTGAATGAATTAATCAATCCATTCAGGTATCTGCTATGTGAGACAGATTCAGGTGACAACCATAGGAATCATTAATACAAACGACGTTTTGAGGAAGCAGTTAACAAGATGACTTGATGGGTACAGGAAATATGGTATGTGACACATTCTGGGTGGGTGTCTGGGTACAGAAAAAACTACAAAGCTTAGAGAAGGAATCCTTTAGCAAGATCTTGATTTTAGACACAATGGATTATTTTTGAGGTGAGATAAGACTATCCAGATTGTAAACCTTGAGATATCCCACTCTTTGGGGATGGGAGAAGAGGAGCCAATTAAGATGCTACAAATATGAATTTGTCAAGGAATATTTTCAGCTAAAATCTAGCTAGAATTTTAAATTTGCCCACTAATAAACAGACTTAAGAGGTGCCCACTTTTACACAGAGGCTAATCTTTCTACTTCCTTTCTTTGCTCTGAAACAGATTAATTTTAGTCTAGTACAGAAAAAGGGCATTGCTATTAAAATAA